GCTGGAGCTGGGACAATGACCTTTGACATTACCACCTCAAGGTGACTGGGGCTGCCTTTTGAAAGAGGGAAGGCATAGTCTCTAGGTTTCTAGGTCAGGAGCGTGTCTTCCTCCTTCTGTCTTCCTGCTTCTGAGGAAGCAGGTTGTTTCCTGCACTTCATGGGCTTATTTATAGAGTTGCCTGTGGACTTCCCTAGAGCACCTACTGGGAGCTGAGATGATAGGAAAATGATTGTAGTCAGAGGATAGCACGGGTAGGCCAGAGAGTCAAGGTCTAAGGCAGTGTAAAGGCTGGAAGCATGGGCCTTGGGATGTCAGGGAAGCATACCTGTAGCTCCAGGGCCATGAAGCCTATTGAATAAAGGTGATAGTGACCGTTGGAGTTGGATGACTTCACTCTAGAGATAGTATGGAGAGTAGACTGTGGAATAGGCAGCTGAGGTATGGAGCAGGAAGCCTCCATGACAGTAGGAGATGGATTTAGTGAGAGGTAGTTGCCAAAATGTTTGAGACAAAAACTCAAAGAGGTAGAGGAGGTCTGGGATCGTCCTTGTTGCAGGGTGGGAGGGGCCGGTGGAGTGCTGAGGAGCAAGCCCAAGGCCCTGAGTCTCTGAGGCTGGGGATTTGAGCAAACTGAATCGGTCTGCTTCTTCTGAGGTAGGATTTAGATCAGACTGAAGCAAGAACTTAATAGCAACGATATCTTCTTAAACTTGAAAAATCAGCTTCTGAGGAAGTCTTTTACTATGGGAGACCCCCAACTGGCCAGACACTCCTGATGCTGATAGGAGAATTTGGGGTAGAAAGCTGGCTTGTGGGTAAACCAGAGTTATCCCCTGAGTCTACTCTAACTAGAATACATCTCATGCCTCAACCCAGGCACATCTGGCCCTCTTGGGCCATCACTAAGGCTATCAGGCTGCTGAACCCAGGGCCCACAGCAAATTAGCCCCTACCTTTCCAGAGCCCCTGCTATCCTTGGGTGCCCTTGAGGGGTTGGGCTAGAGCCAGGTAGCCAGGTCTCCCACGAAGTTCTCTATAAGTTCCAGGCATCTCCTGTGCTTGGATCCGATCCCCGGTCATATCCCCTCCTCCGCGTCCTTCAAAGAGAGCAGGAAGCTGAGGAAGAGAGGGCGTCCTAACCCGCCTTGTCCTCGCCCGGGCCAGGCCTGTCTGAAGGGCTTGGGGCTGCCAGCCACTGTGTCTGGGCGCCAGGTTTCTCCAACAGGGTCAGAGCTGGTTTAGAAGCCTTGTGTGGTCCCCTCGTGGGCGAGCTGAGGGATCAGTCTGCGTACCTCCCTCCAAGTCGCCTTCTTGGCTGGCAAGCTATCCCTTTTCCCTGGGTCACAGGGAGATGCGAGTCTTAGCCAGGGAAAGTAGTCTGGAACAGCTCTTTGACATTGTCTCTGGGGGCTTTTAAAAAATGAGTTTCCTGGTAAGGAAGATTCCTCCAGCCTTGGGCAGGATTCTCAGTAGTCTCCTGGGTTTGCTCTGATCTGACAAACGCCAGCAGAAACCACCCGGCCGCCTGCATTCCAGCAGTGCTTGGGGCCAGGGCTTCCCCAGATGCAGCGTCAGCAGAACGCAGCAGTGGAGACACAGGAGTGTTTGTGCTGAGGCCTATGCTAAGTCCCAGGGGTCGGGGGGTGTGCTAAGGAGAGACCCTAGCCTTGCCCTGCTCAATCAGAAGCAAACATTTCTGGCTTCTCCAGGAATGGCTGGTGTCACACATAATGCTAGAGGGGGATTTGTCATTGACTCATGACAGAGTAGGTCCAGCCATGCCTATGATTGGCAGTAAGTGTCTAGATGGCCTACTGGTTCTTGGCCAGTGACCAACTCTTCTGAGTCTGAAGGCTCTTTGACAGCTGATTCCATACCTGAAAGGTTACCCTAGCCATGGGCTATGGAAGAATATGGTCAAAGAGGCTCAGAGAAGGGGAGCAAAGGAGACCAGAGGTGGAGACTGACAAGAGTCCATCAGGCCTACATGACATCTTGATCTCCCTATACCCTGACTATGAGACTCTGGGCAAGGTTCTGGTTCCATTTGACTTCTTGTTGATAAGTCTAAAATGTGCATGGCTAGGAGATCCGGCACAAAGGCTGCTCCTGGCCTGGGAGAGTGCGTTGCATAGCCTCTCTGCTTCCAGGTAGAGTGGTCCCGAGGAGAGCACTCCCACCTGACCAGTACCAGGTATTTGATGGTGGGTTGGGAGTTGAAGAGAGGAAAGAGTGCTTGACAGTGGGGAAGTTGCTGAGCTAGCCTTCCCAGAGAGAGAAGCCATGTGGAGCATAGGCGGGGACTGGAGCAGAGGAAGTTTCATGCTGTTGGAGAGCTCATGAGGATCCCCAGTGGGAGGTGACATCTTGCCTCAGGAATCCTAAAGCATGTGCCAGGACTCGGAAGGGCAGAATGTGCACAGAGCACCTGCCCTTCAATACTCTGAACAGGAGGGATCAGGAGGGTAGACTGGGCTTCAGGGCCAGGACTGCTATCTCAGGAACCAGTGGGATCACTGACAGGAGGGGTTCCACTCAGAGGACTGAGTTTTGCCCTGGGTTCTTTCCTGTGCATCTATCCTGGTCTCTAGGCCCAAGCTGTGAGAAAAGAGGAAGTCTCTTGGTCTGAAAATGACTCTCATCTGACTGCAGTAGCTGCATGGATAAATGGACAGTTATAGCTTGGCTGGTGGTCTGACAGAACACCAATTCCAGTCCTGGCTCCTGGTTGCTATCAGCTCTGGAGCTTCTCCTAGAGGAAGTTTGGGTACTTGGTATTCCTGGATCAGAACTCCTTTACCATATTTTTTTCCTAACATCAAAATGTTTATTGAGGGTCTGGAGAGATGGCTCAGCAGTTAAGAATACATACTGTTCTTCCAGAGGACCTGGGTTCAATTACCAGCACCCATATGGCAGCTAACAACTGTCTGTAACTCCAGTTCCAGGGGATCCAACCCTCTTCTGGCCTCTGAGAGCATTGCACACATGTGGTCCACTTATATACATGCAGGTAAAACACTCATCCACATAAAATAAGATGAATAAAAAAATAAAATATACATTCAGGAAGCAGAGGCAGGCGGATCTCTGTGAATCCAGGCCAGCCTGGTCTACATAGTGAGTGCCAGGCCAGCTGGACCAAAAAAATATTAACAGAATGTTTATTGATAGATACAAATATCTAAATTTAGGCCATGAACAGGATAAATGAAATAGACTTCATTTCAGTCCTATAAAGTGAACCAATTCATATTCTTTTTGTTTTTTGAGACAGGATCTTACTATTTAATCCTGGCTGGCCTGAAACTCTCCATATAGACCAGGCTAGCCTTAAACTCAGAGGTACACCTGCCTCTGCTTCTTAAGTGCTGTGATTAACAATTTATGTTCCTTTTTTTTTTTTTTTTTTAAATAGAGAGGGTCTCCCTGTAGTCCCAGCTGGCCTGGAACTTGCTAAGTAAACCAGGCAGGCCTTGATCTCCCAGAAATCTGTCTGCCTCCCAGGTGTTGGGAGGCACCATGTCTGGCTAACAATTCATATTCTTTTCTTTTACATTTATTTTATCTTGATTTTTTATTTGTGTGAGTGTCTTGCCTGCTTAAGTGCTTAAGTGTACCCGTGTCATGTGATACCTGTGGAAGTCAGAAGAAGGAGTCAGCTCCCCTGGAACTGGAGTTACTGAAGGTTGTTAGCTGCTATGTGGGTGCTGGGAATCAAACCCAGGTCCTCTGCAAGAGCAGTCAGTGCTCTTAACCGCTGAGCCATCCCTCCAGCCCGCAGTTCATATTAACTATTTGTTTCATATCCACAAAAACCATTTCAGAGGCATCATCTTTTTTTTTTTTTTAAGTCAAGAAAGCCAAAGTTTTATTCAAAGAGGACAATTTTATTAGAATTAAAAAGAAAACCCCCAGGGCAGACAAACTGTAAATCTCAGCAGCTGCCTGGAAGAGGAGACTAGAGAAGGAAAAAAAGCCATGCCATTTGAGTTAAGCTGGCATGGAGGTCAGCCATTTGGTGGCAGGCAGCCATGTGGTAGGGCAGGGACTGCAGTGGAAGAGTGAAGCCCAGAGTAATTAGGGAAACCCAAAGTGTTAGGGAAAGTATTCTCAGGTAAGAGATAGAAGAAAATGAAGTTATCCTTTTCAGAGTGATCCAGAAAAGTATGGCCATGCTCTGTAAGAGACTGTTAGCAGTCTTTCAAAGTCAGTCAGTTTTATGCAAGTAAGCCTATAAACTCTATTTCCTTCTGTATATTTTTTGTTTTCTTTTTGTGCTGGGGATCAGACTCAGGGTCTGTGCAATCTAGAAAAGTCTTCTACTAAGCTATATGCCCAGCGCCGCCACTTGTATTTCTATTTTTTCTATTTTTCTTTTCTTTTTCAAGACATGATCTCACATAGCCCAGGCTGGGCTTAAACTGACTATGTAGCCAAGGTTGGCCTTAAACTCCTGATTTTGTTGCTTCCATTTCCCAAGTGCATGTACTATGACATTACAGGCATGTACTATGACACCTAGTTTGTACAGTGCTGGTGATTGAAACCAGGACTTTATGTATACTAGGTAAGCCCTCTACCAACTGAGTTACATCCTCAGCCCCACATTTCTTTTAAAAAGACCTGTAACCTTGCCCAATCTCAAGATTAAAATCTAGTACACAAAGTTCATTTCTAGAGGTAGAAATGCAGGCAATATATTACTATTACAGTAACCATCGGTAGAATTAGAGTTTTTCTGTAAAACCCAACTGAATAATCAAATACTGCAACAACCTAACTATTTCTCAGTTGGGCACTTCCTGCTGCCCATGCCTTACTCCCAGAGTAGCCAGACTGGGAGAACAGGCAGAACAGAGCCCTGTGCAGGGTACATTGTGGACACCCTGGAGCAAAGACATAGGAAGGAGGTATATATACACAGTCTAAAAAGTAGCCTAAAGTTAGGTGCCTTCTCTTTAATCTGCTTTGCCTTTCTTTTCTATCCCCCTTAGGGTGGCCATGGGAGAAAAGCAGATGTGACTGGCAGAGCAGGGATGAAGGCAGTAAGTTCTTCTTGCCTCAGGAGGTTAAGTCCACTCTCTTAGTGCCTGGGAGCCATAGATGACATGAGTTCTACTTGCCACTAGCCCACAGATATATAGGTAGAAGGTATTCATTCCAATGTGTGTATACCCTTCCTCCACATTCTGCCACATGTGCTCTTCCTTTAGCATGCCTGACTGCAAACTGGGGCATTCTTGATGTGGTAGAATAGGAGGGGCATCACAGAGACCCCTGAAGTCTGTGAAGGAGTTATGTGCTCCACCTTTCATTCTCTCTGAGCAACTCCAGATGGTGTGATCCTCTGGATCTCAAGAACACCTGGAGAGTGCTTGGTCCCATCCCTACCCCTATGGGTCTTTTCTCAGCCACTGTCCTTAGTATTTCCATTGTTACCATAGTGTCCCTCATATCAAAAATCCAAGAGAAACTTTCCTGCAACCTTCACTCCCCCAAATTTTTTTCTATAGTAATTTTTTGATCATAAATATACACCAGACTATACTCTCTTCTAGGCTTTAGAATACCATAGTGGACCAGAGTGGAGTCCCTGTCCTATAACTTCATCTCCAGGGGGATCTAATGCCACCAACCTCCACTGGCACCTGCAACTCATGTACACAAACCCATACACAGACCACACATACACATAATTAAAAATAATAAAAATAAATTTAAAAAAATATTTTATTATTGTTATTTTATGTGTATGAGTGTATTGCCTGCATATGTGTGAGTGCACCTGTGTCGTGCAGTGCCGCGGAGGTCAGAAGAGGGCATTGGATTCCCTTGGAACTGGCCACCATGTAGGTGCTGGGAATCAAACCTGGCTCCTCTGCAAGAGCAGTCAGTGCTCTTAACTGCTGAGCCATCTCTCCAGCCCCCAAAATAAATTTTTTTTTAAAGCAAGATTATGTTTCAAAAAAGTAAAATAAGGGCCTGGGGAGATGCCTCAGTTGGTAAAGTGCTTGCTTCACAAGTGTGATGACCTGAGTTTAGATCCCCAGAACCCACATAAAAAGCTGGATGTAGTGGCACGTGCTTATAAATTCTAGCAATCACAAGATGGGAGGCGAGGCAGGTAGATCTCTGTAAGTTCAACAACCAGCTAGTGTAGCCTACTTGGCAAAGTTCCAGGCCATTGAGCAACTGTGTCCCAAAGAAACAGTGGAAGGAGCCTGAAGAATGACACCTAAGTTGTCCTTTGATCTCTACAAGCATGCACATGTGTGCATGTGCGCACACACATATGCATGTGTACACAAACATACATAAAAATTAAAATAGGACTAGGAATATAGCCCAGTGATAGAGCACTTGCTTATGTGTGAAGCCCTAGGTTCAGTTCCCAGCAGTGAAAAAGTAAACTGAAATAAAAGTAAAAGGGCTTCTGTATGAGGAATAGACTGGGTACAGGGGCAGGTAATACTCTGTCCATCACATTTGTGCCTAAAAGCTCAGGAGAGCCCTTAGGATTAGCTTACTTGCCTCTAGCCACTGGTAAGGGAAGCCCATCCCCAGGCTACTCATTTACCCTCAGGCCCCTTTCAGTTTCAGTTTCCTGGCTGTTATCTTCATGCTTCCTGGTCCCTTCCATTTTGTTGTGGTCCATCCCAGCGTGGCCTTCTCTGCTCTGCCCTATTTTTATACATTCTCTCTTCTACCCCTACAGTTTTGGGTATTTGCTTTTTTTTTTTTTCCAAATACTTCATGTCTGTATGGCTTGCCCCTCAAACCCTAGTGCCCTAGAGGGCAGGACCCACGTTATAGTCTGTTCCAAGTTAGAGTCTCAAAGGCTGTAGACTATAAATCATACTTTGCGTTAACCATGTCATCTTGGTGTGAAATTATTCTACTTGTGTTTATACTCTGGGGCTCAGTGTGCTGGCTAGGGTCTAGAGCATCTGGATCTTACCCTGGCTTGTTGTAAGTAGGTTCTGAGCCAATAGAGAGAGATGGAAGTTAGGGTAGCAGCAGTACATGGTATCAGGGGAGAAGCTGAACCCAAAGTTGGGTAGGGATGGAAACACAGAGTACTGGGTAAGGTTCAGCAAAGCTAGTGCTTACTCTCTACCTTTGGCTTTCAGACTTGAAGCTGCATCTGCAGAGTACTGACTATGGCAACTTCCTGGCCAATGAAGCGTCACCTCTGACAGTGTCAGTCATTGATGATAGGCTCAAGGAGAAGATGGTAGTAGAGTTCCGCCACATGAGGAACCATGCCTATGAGCCACTTGCCAGCTTCCTGGACTTCATTACGTGAGTGATCCCATAGTACTGGGCAGGGTCACTATGCCTGTAGAAGCTGGCACCAGCATGGCCTAGGCCAGATGCTGTTGTGCCTCTGTCAGCTGACCTGATGATAGCTCTGTCAGGACAGCTGTCATTAAAGAATGTCTTTAGAGTTCTCCCAGGTGGTCTGACTACTGATCATTCAACAACCCTGTATCTCCAGGTCCCAATCTATAAAGTGGTGTTACCAGTCTCTTTCCCTGTCCTCTTGTTGTTAAAGATAGGGGAGATTGGAGCCCCCCCCCCTTTTTTTTTCCCCACTTACTCTACAGCATCTACACCAAACACTCACTAGACCTCCCTTCCCTGCATACTAGAGTCAAGGGTCAGGGTGTAGACAGAGCTCTGAAAGTCCTGGTTGGGCCAAGTTCTTCCTGCCTGGCCTGGGCTGAGGCCCATTCTCCATCTGCTCTGATAGGTCATGGAGACTGGATAGGGGTTTGAGTTGGGGAGGCTGAATGCCTTGATTCCTTTCCCAGGAACTCAGGTAGGTTAGATTCCCATATTTATTAGTAACCCTTGGTTTTACTGCTTCCCCGTTGTGACCGTTGGGTAGGGCTCTGTTTATACCAATCTCCTAGAGAAGCTAAACAGAGGAGAGGAACTTAGCTTGCAGGCTAGGAGAGGCTACTTAGACTAAATCTGTATGCCTGGAACCCTGAAAGGTAAAGAGGTCATCTCTGAAAGAATGACCTAGGAGTCATGAGCCAGGGTCTGGAGGACAAAGAATGGCCCCAGCCTAGGTGGCTGCCTCATGTGAGTGGTGAGCAGAAGTACAAGCAGTGGCCGGCCTGTGAGTATGCTGTGCATTGGGGTATTGCGGGGAAGTATATTCCCACATTCTTCTGAGTGTCTTGTTTTCCCAGTCCCTGATTATAGTGTCCCTACCCTTGGGACCAGATACATTACTCCACTTGTCTCTTCAGGGACAAAGCCTGCCGCCTGGCCTGATTCCCACTCTCAACTGGGAGCAGCCACTTGCAGAGGATCCATGTACTCAAATGGCATATTTAGCCAGAGGGCTCCATCCTATGTTAGGGTCACAGGCTGGGACACCTGAAGGGCTCAGGGAACTTCCCCAAGCTGGAAACAAGTCCTCTCCTGACCACAGATCTCCTCCCCAAGTGCCTTTCTGCTGAGGAGTCCTAGATGGGCTTATGTCCAAACTGCATGCTTCTTGTCAAAGTATGCCAACATAGACCTAGTGGGATAGGACAGATGGAATAAATCATATGCTGCTTTATTGGGGATTTGTGTGTCATACGTCACCATACCATCTATCCCAACCCCTGTCCTGGGCCTGTGTCCCCTGCCCCAAGGCAAGAGCCGAAGACATACCAGGAAGCAGTACATTTATTGCCAGAGCCCAGCCTTCACCTTCAGCTTGTTTGCACAAGGTTTCTTCAGCTTCCTGGTTAATGTTCTGGTCTTGCCAGCTAGACTGGCCAGAGGAAGCCTTACCCCACGCCAGTGCTAAGAGGGTAGATGTTATCCATCTTGCTGCCAATTTGCCCACCTGCCTATGCATCCACCTCTGGCCTGTCAGCCTGCCAAACCACGAAACTGGAGAGGGCTCTGAGCATGACTGAGACAGAACAGCCGCCAGCTCTTGGCTGAAGGCTGGCTGCAAGCACCAAATGTGCTTAAAGCAGCCAAGTGCTATCCTGTGGCAGGCTGTCCAAATCCACCACTTCCCCGCCCCTTCCATTCATGGGTGATTGTGGCTTACAACCTCCCCATGCACTTACTCCTGCCCTCACTCTGGAACAGCTCAGCATCCACGTGTTGAACAGTCTGAGCCTGTAGCTGCTTATCCCTGACCCCTTTCCCTCCAGTGACTTCTCTGCTCTCCACACTAGGCACCCCCCCACTGATGGCTGCCATGTCACTATCTGGAATTTTTCCATCCCTGAAATTGCTGAGTCAGGCACCCCTTTCCACGCACAGCCTTCAGGCTCCCTAGCCCACTCTCAGTCCCTTGTGGAGCATGGGTTCTGGACTCAGTAGGACACTGGACTGCTTCCTTCCCTGTTGTCCCTTCTGTCTTCATTTCCCACCTTCCCCAGCTGAGGTTCCCTGGTCCGTCATTCGAGCTCTCTTCTGCCAACATCCGAAACTCTCTTGGCTGCCCGACTCATGGTTCCACCCGGCCTGGCAGCCCTCAAGCCCTGGAGGAATCCCAGAGCCTCCAGCCTGGAGCTGTCCTCCCTCCACCTCTACTGCTAGGAGCAAAACTGGGGAAGCCATCCATTGAGGGGGAGGGGTCATTCTTGCTGCCAGATATGCATGTTCACCTACTCAGCTAGCCTCAGCTTGTTTCTGCCCAGCAACTTCTTGCTCTCCTTACTTACTCTGCAGCCCCCTCATCAAGCCCCTCCCTATCTTAAACATCATCCCTCTCCTGTCTCCAGTCTCCTCATATCTGGGCAGATGTCCCACCTTCTTGTCTACTAAACCAGTAGAAGCTAGTATACCTTCCATCACTGTATGCGTACCCCGTCCCCTGAGTTCATTCCAATGGAAGTGCCCTCCTCTCCTTGGGATTCTACTACTATTCTGAGTGTCCTCTGGATCCAGAGTGACCACTCCTTTTGCCACTTTTCCTTCCCTTCCAACTGCTTCTAACACCATTCCTTGAACCTCTAGCACCATTAAACATCCTTAAAAAACTCTTCTCATGGGGCCTATACTTTTGCATTCCTTGTCCTCTCATCCCCTCCCCCATCCCTCAAGCCTCCAGTCATTTTCCAGAAGTCCTGTTATTCCACAACAAGGCCTTGATTATGGTTGCTCTTGGCCTTCATGTGGTGAAGGTCTCCAGGGTTGGCCATTGGGTAGCATCCAGCCCCCAGCATTTTCTTCTTCCCATGATATCTGACTTAATCTCCATCTTCTTGGCTGTTCTTTCTCCTGTACTGTACCAGCAGGTCATTCCAAGTGTGAAGAGAATTTCAGACGGAGATGAGTAAAGCCTTCCTTTGGGCCTTGTACTAGGGGAGCATCCCTAGGCTGGGACTCATGACTGGCTTCTTTGAGAAGGTGTCTACTTGGCTGAGGGTAAAGGTATATAAGAGAAGAACTAGGGGCAGGGCTGAGGCCAGAGCCAGTGCCTGGAGGGAAATACATGGATGTAGAGAGAAAGTGATACCGAGAGAACAGATAGTCACTGTAGAGGCCACTGTGTGGTGTAGGGAAGACAGTCTAAATGAAGTAGATTACTAGCATATGGCCTTAAGGTGACGCAGCCCAATTTTATGGTGCTAACATGTTAATGTCACTGTAACAAGGGCTCTTGCCAGGCCCAGCCATTAACTTGCTGTGTGACTTGGGATAAATCCTGTATTCATGTTTTTTGGCCTTGGAAGAGACCTTTATTTGGACCATTCCATGATATTTTTACATAGGAGAATCAGCCCTAGAAGAGAAGTTGGGAAAGTTGCTTGTAGGAGAGTAAGCTTGGATATCCCAGGTAGCCCTTAAGTGCCCTTATCTTTGGATGAATGAGCCTCTCTGGCTGGGCCCTTGCCCAATGTACCTGCCTGCAGCCTAAGTGCCCACTGGCAGAAGCTGCCTGTGGGTAACCTGTACCATCTGGGAGAAGTGCCAGCAGATGAAGCGGGCACTTGGAAGGAAGCTTTGTCCCAGAACAATGGCCTTAAGTGTTCTCTGGGCCTGCCAACACATCTGCCATCCTCCCTAGGACATGTTGCCCCCACCTTGAGCCTGCTTGGTCACAAAGGGAGGCATCAGGTTTCCCTTGGCCTCCCTATCCTGACCCTCCAGCCCTTACTGTCTACAACAAGCTGAGTTTTGGGGTGGATTGCACGTCTCTGCTGACTGAAGCTCTAGGGCTGCTATGGTTTCTAGTTCCTTGGCTCTCCCCGGCCTGGAAGTGAGCCAGCACTGACCCTATTCTTCTGGCTTGTGGGAAAGCACTACTGTGAGGGGCTCCGCAAGGCCCACAAGCCGCAAATCAGATGGGAGAACTCAGCTGGGCCTTGGAGTAGGGTCAGGATTTTAATGAGGAGAAGGTCAGAGCCTTACTAACTCTGCTGTGCACCACATGTCATTCATCCTGATTGCAGAGGGAAAAGTGAGATTTGAGAGGTGTGCTAGGGCCATAACAGATACTTCTGTTCATTTTCAGCTCTAGATGGGGCTCTTCAGGACCTACATGTAATCGAGTACAGATATTGTTACTAGCAGAAAATGAGGACCCTCGGCAGGCAGACAAGTTGGCAAGAGAACCCAGTCATGGCCTCCTGGCCCAAGGGCTGAGAAACCTTGCTGCTCCAGCAGATGGCACCATAGGGCACAGTGAAGGGCCAGGGTTGGCTAGGGACTCTGAAGGCTTCGGAGGAAGTAGCTTCCTAAACTTCAGTCTGAGACTTTTCCAGGCCCAAGCTATTTGGAGGCACAGGGCAAGGGAGGGCCCCAGGGCAGAGGATTATGGACTGCCCCACCCCAAAAGAGCCTCTTTGGCCTGGCGGGCAGCGGGCCATCCACTCCCCAGCTGTCTTTCCCTGGAGGGAGATGCTGACCAGCTGGAACTTCATTCTCTCCTATTGAGGCCAAATGAGGGGAGAAATGGTGGAGCAGCTCCCTGGGGGCAGGGAGGCAGCTGCAGAAGCCAGGCGAAGAGGAGGGTTTCCTGCCTGCTGATGGTAGAAAGGCAAATGACTGGGTCTTATCATTTCTGCCAGGCCTGCCCTGTCTTCTATCTCCCAGAAAAGAGGATTCTGAGCCTCACTGTGCAGGAAGGGAAAGCAGGGGCCTCCACTGCAGCAACCTTAACAGTTGGCCCAGGGGTAGGGAAGTGCTGGGCCTGGCACATGATAGAAGCTTGCCTGGCTTGAGGAGGCTTTAGAAGGGGCTAAGTGCCATGATTGTGAGTGACTCTTACTTGGCCTAGCATTTTCCTCTAAGCTCAACTAAGACTTAATAGCAAAGAGAAACTAGGGGAAGCTGGGAAGGAGGGGAGAACTGCCACTGGCTTCTATGTGTGCTGTCAGAGCTGAAAAGTGAATCACAGCTGGCTAGTTGTACATGACTAGAGGGACAGCAGTGAAGCCAGGTGGCAACATCTTCCCACAGGGTTCCCTAAGGCTGGGCCAGGACCCTTAGAAGTACCAAGACACCTCTTTTGGGGCCTTGCTCCAGCCTTGTTCCCAACTTGAACAGATACCCTGAGTTGTAGGCACAAGGAGGGGGGTTGTTTCAAATGAGAAACTTGCTTGTGGGGGGCCCCCTGAGAAGACAAGGCTAGGGCTGGAGAGATGGCTCAGCAGTTAAGAACGCTGGCTGTTCTAGCAGAAGACCCAGGTTTGAATCCCAGCACCCACATGGCAGTTAACAGCTGTCCGTAACTCCAGTTCCAGGGTATCTGACAGCCTCTTCTGTCCTCCTTGGGCATTGCATGACAGGGGTGTACTTATCTACATGCAGGCAATACACACATACACATAAAAAAACAATAATAAATAAAATATTTTTAAAAAAAAGAGAAGACAGGGCTAGACGGGGAGTATAGAATCAGAACATGGGGTTCTAGCCATAAGTGTAAGGACAGTGGCTTTGGGGCAGGGCTCTTCTGCCTTATGCTGTGACAGGGTCTGGTATTATCCAGTCTGGGTTTTATCTGCCATGGTGCTAGGGCCAGTGGTTATGGAATCATTTGAATAATGTGAGTTCAAAGGATGTATTATTCTCCAACTTATCCAAAGGGTGTGAGAGGTAAAAAGCATTCTTAGATTCTAAGGGAGAAGGGTTAGTCTTTGTGGCGTCTCTAGAAGTACAGTGGTTGTAGTGGGGCTGGATTAGGTGCATGTAAAGTAGTGAAGGGTGATAGGTATGTCGTGGTATACATAAGATACAGAAGACAACAGAGGCAGTAGGTGTTTCTAGTGAGGAAGAGCGGTAGGCTGAGGCTGGAGACCAAGGCACAAAGCTCTGGCAGGCTCTCTCTCTGCAGCCTTTACTCTACCAGCTCCATGGATTCAGGAGCAGGAGGCTGGCCATATGGACCTCTTGGTTTGAAGCTACAAATGGGCATCCTATAATTGACTCATCCAGAAGGGATGGAGAGTGGGCAGCTGTCTGGTCCTAAACCCAGGAGACCAGAGGTTGTAACAGGGCAGTGAGCCAGGTGGGAGCTGAGGGAGTGTTCAGCAAGCACAAGGAGTATGGGACCGGATGGGACAGGAGCTGGGGCTTTTTCCTACGCCTTCCTTTAGGGTCTTGTGGGAGTACCGTAGTGGCTGGCTCTCTGAGCTGAGGTGTAGGCCCTTGTCCACCACCCTTCTCCATTTATTCCTTTGGTACCAGGGACCACCTCCTACCAAATCCTCCCTGAACAGTCTCCAGCACTGGGTACTTACTCAAGGTCCTATAACAGGGTCAGAGCCTAGCTCCAAACCCTCATAGAAACAGGGTAAGACCTGTGCTCAGGGCTCAGCTCACAGTAGCCTCCTTCCTAGTTCTTATCCTTCCATAGCCCAGCCTTGTCTTTGAGGACATTCCCCTGAGGCCTCATCCAGTTTCTTTGTACTTTGAGTATATCCCTTGTAACAAGATAGACAATAGGGCTACTGCAGCCCGGACCCTTTCTGCTCCAGCTCCTTTGTGGCCATGTCTTTTGGTTGGAGACAGAGCCTTGTCCCTTGCCAAGTCTTAACTGAGCAAACCCCCAGTTTCACAGCCCCCTCTACTGCCCATGGTAGGCAGAGTTGGCCTCTTGCAGGGGAAACCTAGGGGAGACTTAACCTAGAACTGACCTGAGCCAGACTAGCCTCTGGATCTCATATAGGCCTTCCTGCATAATTGCTTGACACTAACATCTGGCTCTAAGGAGGAAAGTGGCCCTCTTGTCTTCAAAGTGGAACTGCTGAGCAGGTCTGCCTAACTCAGTTCTTCACTCTAGATGGGGCCTCCACAACTCCTCTCTGGCCCTTCTTGGAGAAGCCTTGTCTCAGGCCACTCCTTAGCCTTGCCTCTCTTCTCCCTCTGTCCTCACAATTCCAAGGAGTCAGAGTGGTTCTAACCATACTCTGATATCCTGCTTACATTCCACTTACGGATACCTTGTGTTTGAAATGAAGTTGGGGCCTGCAGCCTGGCCTGAGCTCAGTTTCCAGGCACCCTGCTGCTAACAGCACTTCCCTGCCAGCAGCTGTACCCTCCCTCTCCCTCTACCAGTCTTGATGGCACTCAGTTCCTTAATTTTGGCCTAACTCAATGTATTCCTCCAGGCCTTTGCACACTGTTCCTTCTTCCCAGAACACACTTTCATCTCCCAGTCCTTTTATCTGTCAAGCTCCTGACACACCCACCCCGGGATGGTCTGTGTGCCTCACCTGCATGTACCCATGGTTCCTGTGTCCTGTTGGAACACTGTTCACGCTGTAGGGGAGTTGCTTGTGTTCCAGTCATTCATGGGTCATGAATGCACAGTCCTCTCCAGGGAGAGGCCATGTTTGTCCTATGCTTCTGGAACAAGATGGAGGTCGAGAACTTGACAGGAACCTGGGCAGGGAGATACCCAAGGACAGAGCCCCTAGAGCCTCTCTGTAGCATCCATGAGCCAGCAGTTAGGTTTAAAGCAGCTTGCTTATGCAGGGTATGGGGAAGGATGTGGTGCTGGCCTTCCAAGTCCTTTACCCTAATAGTCTGCCTTGTCTGTTTCCCACAGTTACAGCTACATGATTGACAATGTGATCCTGCTCATCACAGGCACATTGCACCAGCGTTCAATTGCTGAACTTGTGCCCAAGTGCCACCCTCTAGGCAGCTTTGAGCAGATGGAGGCCGTGAATATTGCACAGACACCTGCAGAGCTCTACAATGCCATTCTGGTTGACACGCCCCTGGGTGAGCCACTGTGGTGGAAACAGCAGCTGGGTAGTGGTCTTAGCATCAGTGCCTCAGTGTGGGTTTTATGGAGTATGAGAGGTGGGGTTGCCTGAAGCAGAAAGTGAGCCCCTGCTTTCTGCTGTTGACCTTGTCCTTCCCTCAACTTCCCATTCTCATTCTTTCCCACCCTGCTTCTCCTTTCCCTTTGCTTTTTCTGCCCAATAGGCAACCCACGGGGCACCCTTGACCATCTAACTTTGGAAATAGTATAGTTTCTCAGAATGCACAGGAGGACTGAGCTTATAAAGAGAGAAGCTTGTCCCTTGGAGCCCTGAGAGGTTTGATAAACTATGACCCTGAGCAGGGCCACTGTGACTGGCTGCCCATGAGGTAGAAAAGAAAAGCAAACAGCTTTACTTGCTTCCACTGAGCAGGTCCCAGGGGCTAGGTCAGACAGTGTCGGGCAGGATGCAGGGTCCATGTCAGAGGCCAAGGAAGGGGGGAGGGGAGTCAGGGGAACTTCCTGTTGGGCTCCACCTCACTAATGCTGGCTCCTGTCTGCCTAGAAGGCTGGGGAGAAGGCATGAGGGTCATAACCAGCACCACACCAGGAAGCCCTCAAAGTTGAACCAGAGGGCCCTAAACCTGAGAAATGCCAGCCATATCTGTTCACCTATTCTGCCTTTGATTCTCTCAGCAACTCTGAGCTAGTTCTGGGATGTTTGCAGCTTCTGCAAGTTCTTCATCTTTAAAGGAGAGACATCAAACTAGTCTCTAGGCCCTCCTGAGGATGAGGCTGCCGTAGCCTCTCCTCTTAGCTCTGCAGTGGATCACTGGTCCTTGCCTAGCTGCTGAACTCATTCTTATCTTAAGGAGAAGGAGGCTAGTTTTCCATGTGTGGGCACAAGGCCTTCCTAGGGGATGCAGAGCAATGGATTTCGGCCCCCAGACAGCTGCCTCTGGAGAAGGGAGAATCTCATGGCCTCTTATGCAAGTCTGTCTTTGGCATGGTCTAAACTTGGGTCTGCCCCAGCAGCGATTAGATCATGTTATGGCTGGCCGCCTCCTTTATAAATCAATTTTAGGAGCAAAGAGGCAGGAAAAGCTCAGGTCAGTGCACATGGCCCAGAGAATTGCTTCTGCTAATTCCAAGCAGAATCTCAGGCTGGATTGGTTGCCCCAATATCTAACCCAAAAGGCCTTGTGGCATGGGCCCTCTCACTGAGGCTGCTTGCCCACTCTTCATATCCTTCACTTTCCTCCCCAGCGGCTTTTTTCCAGGACTGCATCTCAGAGCAGGACCTTGATGAGATGAACATTGAAATCATCCGAAACACACTTTACAAGGTAGTGCTTCTTGGGAGCAGTGGGGAATTGGCTTGTTGGTGGGTGGGTCTGTGGGTCTGATGGGATGGTGATTTATGTGGGTTGCTGGGACAGGACACAGCTGCACCAGACTCCTGTCCTGAGGGCTTATCCTCTTGCTCTCTTTCTCTCTGGCTCCTGTGATGGTTTCATGGAACAGACTATCCATCCCTGTGATGCCTGAGGCAGGCTCAGATAAGATCAGCAAGAGTGGTTGATGCTCTGTCAGACCTGGCTCCTAGGTAGTCACTCCCCCAGCATTCAGGAAGGTATGGACTACCACCCAGGCCATAGTCCTCAGGCTACCCCATGTAGGCTGTTGTTAGCCAGGGCAACAGGACTTGAGCAAAGGCAATGGTGTGCTTAGTGATGTCAGGGGAGGATACAGCCAGGCACAGCCAGGTCATTATGACCTTTCAGGTTCCCAGACCCTCCTCCATTGCCATGTCCCACTATCTTCATCTCCTTACCTTCTGCTTCGCACTAGGCTGAGGCATAGACTGAGGGGATACAGGATAGGCTTGAGATTCCTAGATCCACACAGTCCCCTCAGAGATTAAGCAATAGCTACCTGTTAGGGACATTTGGGAAAGGCTGGGTTCAGTCTGTGTTATATAAGGTATTAAGCTGTGATGTAAGACACACAGATTGTAGTTAGTAGGGGATCAATAGTGGGCAAGCCATGCAGGAAGGCTGAGGATGGCATTGGCCAAAGAACCTGCTAACCAAACTCTGAGAACATCTGTCTTTTCAGTCTCCACCCTAAGGATCTTCTGGTTATAGCTAGCTGGCGAACATCTGGCTCAGCTTAAGCCCAGGCCTTTTAGTCTTCTGTGGGGCCTTTAGCAGGCACACAACAAGGATCTGGTAGAAGGAGATAGAGGTTGTAATAGTATAGGCAGAGAGATAACACATACAGGAGAGCATGGATCACGGGCCAGATGGCAAAGGGTTTACTATGAAAGTGCAGATTCCACATAGATAGTGGGGAAAGAGATCCAAAGGAAGAAGCAGGCACTGAGCTAAGTCACCTGGGGCCTTGAATGTCAGGCCAAAAATTTAAACTTTAGCTGGAAGTGGTGGCACACACCTCCCAACATTCAGGAGATGAAAGCAGGAAGATTGCTGCAAGTTCAAGATTAGTCTAGCCTACATAGTAAGTTCCAGGTCAGCCAGGCCTACATAGTAAGATCTTGTCTCAAGAAAAAAAGGTAAGTTTGGTAAGATGGCTCAGTGAGTAAAATATGCTTGCTGCCAAATGTGACAACCTGAATTCAGTTCCTAGGACTCACAGGGTGGAAAGTGAGAACAGACTCCCACTAGTTGTCCTCTGACCTTTATATGCTTGCTGAGGCACATGTCCTCACTCACATACATATACACACACAAACAAAATAAATAGAATATGAAAAAATAAACTTTATTCTGTGGGCAGGGTAAGCCAGTGAAGGTTTTCAACAGAGCAAAGTACTCTCAGAAGGCCCCTTGTGACTGCAGGGTAGAGGGCAGATTAAAGGCAAGAGGATACATGTGTAAGCATATATACACACATACACATAAACACACAACCTTTTAGTGTTCCCACCCGTTCACCTGGCCCATTGCCGGATTCCCTGCCCTGAGACAGGGTGAGAGGTGCGGCTGTTCCAGCCTAGCCCCCCCACCCCCCGAGCCTCACCTACACCATCACTGGGCCTGACTGGTTCTAGCTGGCGTAACTGGCAAGGACTGCCCAGGAACCAGCTCATAAACACCGACCTAACATTGTGGGCCCTGTGCCAGGGCTCCCTGCCCATCAGGCAATGTCCCAGCCCAGTGGCCACAGATGGGAGATTAGGTGGACCCTCAGCTGCCTGGCAGGTGGGAACTGTAGGCAGCTGGTGCAGCAGCCATGGGCTGGCACACTCCAGGGAACAGGGTGGGGTTGGGGAGGTGACCTTGGTGTTTGGGTCTTGCCAGTTTCTTTGCTGTCCTGGCCTCTAGAGGAGAGTGTAAGTCTTCCAGTCTCCTTAACCCTAGGGTCACTTTCTCCAGGGATTGATACAGCTTGGCTAAGCAAGTAGGTAGGTAGCAGGGCATGGAACCCAAGACCTGGCCAGTGGCTTCCCCCACAGATAGGAGCTGCAGGCTCCTCTGGGGTAGGTCCTGGGATTTCAGCATAGCCAGCTTGGCTGACCTCAAGGAAGGTGACAGGGGACTGACTCCTGGAGGAACTGAGAAGTACCACCAAACCCTGGTGGGAGTTGGCAGCAGTTTCTGTTCTCAGGCTCTCTGAGTTCCCCAAGATCTTTACTGGGCCCTTCTTATTCCTCACTTATCCTGACCTTTTGTTTCCTGTGACCTCGGTGGTCACCCTCAGGCTCTCCCCTGAGTCTATCTTGCCTAGTGTGGCTGGGCAGGCTAAATCTGGGCTCATGGAGTCCAGGGTTCATCTCATCTCTCTTAGAATGGCAGAACCTGTGGGTCTAAGCCAATTTGGAGGGCACACCTGAGTGTGGAAAGCTTGTCCTGTGTTCCAGGCCCCTCCCCTAACTCAGAATAGTCCCCATCATATAGATCCAGTCACTGTGACCATGCTACAGATGGAACTAGATGGGGTCTGAGTGAAGGTTCATGCAAGAGAGCTCTCTGTGGGGTCTGCGGGACCATGGGGAAGCGTGTAGAAGGAAACCTGGTTGGCCTTGTGAATGAGTATTAGGAAGGACCTTGTACCTCGGCTGACCTGTCCTTTCCTCATGCCCAGCAGATCCAATTTTCCTGGACAAAAAGCACATGTTCCCACCAGCAGCCTACATGCCTAGTCATTGACTGTGAGGGATGACGTTCACATAGGCAATAACCATCCTTCAGAGCTGGAACTGACCTGACAATTTGGTTCCTATTGTTGATGCCTAGGGGATGTCTGAGGGGTTTGGAGGAGGAATATTCTTTAAGATGGGGTGCAAAAAGGGAGGGCATGAGGATTTAATTCAGGACATTTTGTGAACTCTCAGGATAACCTTCCCTCACTAGCCCATGGACACCTAGTATCTGAGGTTGAGGAAGGGAAAGTTTTTGGAGATTAGAGGAAAAGGACGGTAGAGCGCCAGGAAGAAGACAGAGCTTGGCTGTCCAGAAGGAAGAGGTAGGGTACATGTACCCTGAAACAGACAGTAGGCCAGAAACTTTTCTTACTCCAACATAGGAGGCAGCAAGGCACTGCTGTTTGGCTGATTAACTGTTGAAATAGTAGATGTTCTGGTGGAAGGGAGGTTGACAGAGCTGATCTTGCCTACTCCTACCTTAAAAGGACTAGAAATAAGAGAAAAAATGGAATAGGTCCCTGAGAAGCCTCCGAGAATTGCTCTGCTTGTGCTAAGCAAGTTCCATTCTCTGTGCAGGCCTATCTGGAGTCCTTCTACAAGTTCTGCACTCTGCTGGGTGGTACTACGGCTGATGCCATGTGCCCTATCCTGGAGGTCAGTGCCTACCCACTCTTCTGCTTGCTTGTCCCCACTGACCCTTGTCTGAAGGAAGCTCTGCCAACTGACTGGCTATGGTCTCCCTCTTCCCTTTCTTGTTGCTTGTGCACTGGCCCTGCAGTTTGAAGCAGACCGCCGCGCCTTCATCATCACCATCAACTCTTTCGGCACAGAGCTGTCCAAGGAGGATCGGGCCAAGCTCTTTCCACACTGCGGGCGACTCTACCCTGAGGGCTTGGCTCAGCTGGCTCGGGCTGACGACTATGAGCAGGTCAAGAATGTGGCTGATTACTACCCGGTGAGTGCCCTGGCTGACAGGTTAGAAGATGGGCATGTTGGCACCCCAGAACCCAGCACCACTCATGCTTCTGCCTCCCCCCATTTCCTGGCCAGGAATACAAACTGCTCTTCGAGGGTGCAGGTAGCAACCCTGGAGACAAGACCCTGGAGGACCGATTCTTTGAACATGAGGTGAGCACAGGGCTCTTGCAGAGCCTGCCCAGCCTAAGGGAGGGTTGTGACTTAGACCTGACTCTGGCCATGTCACCTATGCATCATACCTGCCTCTGACCACAGGTGAAGCTGAACAAGTTGGCCTTCCTGAACCAGTTCCACTTTGGTGTCTTCTATGCCTTTGTGAAGCTCAAAGAGCAGGAATGTCGTAACATCGTGTGGATTGCTGAGTGCATAGCCCAGCGCCATCGCGCCAAGATTGACAACTACATCCCCATCTTCTGATCCAAGGCTCCCAAGTGCACTGTGTGTGTCTTTGTGTGCTGTGATGAAGCCTGTGGCTCACTTGTCTGCCCCAGGGGAGGGTGTAGCACATTGTCCTATGGGTTGCCCAGGTCCCTGACCCCCTTTGGGACTGCTCTTAGGCCTAAAAAGGGGTTGGGTACCTCTCCTCTGACCAAGAATGGACCAAGACCCCCTTCAGAGCAATGAGCTCCCCTCAGCCCTATGTTTACAGCCACTGACATGTCTGAGAAGCTTGTGGTCACTTTCATGTCCCTCCCTAACCTGAGAACCCCTGGAGGAAGTGTGAGCCTCCTCTCCCTGCTGTGGGTCATCCCAGAGTTACGGCTCATGGGAAGGATAGAGTGTATGTGTCCATGGGGCAAGGGGAAAACAGCTTTGCAGCCCTCTCCCTCAGCTCTGCCTCCCTGAGACAATAAAATTGTCCTCTTTAAGCCTACTGTCTGCTACTTCCTTTGGGCCCTTGTACCTTTTCCAGACTCGCCTTTCTTCATGACTGCACTCTTGTAGTAGGTTCAGCAGCTACAGAGGAATCCCTGGAGGATAGCTTCTTCTGCTGAAGGCTCAGGTAACAGAAATAGGCTCAGATGTATGTGGGAGTGCATGGGGGCAAGGGGAAGAGCTGTATTTTGGTCCTGCAGGCCCCCAGTCCTCCATAATCCATAACTACTTCACTGAGTCCTGCAACTCCCTGCAGTTACTGGCATTCCTTCATCTCTCTATACAGAAACCCAGACTTGGGGATAAATGATTTGCCTCAGGTCATTGGAAAAGGGATTTGAACCAGAGTGCCTGGGGAGCCTGGTTAGGCCTGTGCTCACAGGCTGGCCCCCATGCTGAGCCCCAGGAGCTCCCAGGCAGTTCCCAACCTCTATCACAGCCACACCCTGTTACCAAGACAACTAAGCAGTCACCTCCTCCAAACACTGCATCTCCCCCATTCTAGAAGAAATAAAAATGTATCTTTATTTTAAAAAGCAACTATCAGAGGCTGGGTGTAATCCCAGCACTCAGGAAGCAGAGGCAGGGGGATCTCAGTGAGTTTGAGGCTAGCCTGGTCTACATAGTGTGTTCCAGGCTAGCTGGGGCTACAGGGAGACCATGTTGCAAAAAGACCAAAAAAGGAGGGGGAAAAAAAGCAACTATCGGGCAAGTGTAAGATGCAGCTTCCCTGTGGCTTGGGGGTAGGTGGTTGGAGGCAGTCAAGAGGCAGTTGGGATTTTCTCTGGACTTGCAGCACTGAGGCACTAGTGCTGAGGCAGTCCCCACCTGCCCAGTCACACTGAGTTTGTAGAGAAACTGTCTGTAGAGTCCTGTCAAAGGCTACATATGGATAAACGAACTAAACTCCATCCAGCTGGGTTTTCTAAGCTGCAGCATGGAGCATTGTGCCCAATAGGGTCTCTGTGGGCTCTTGAAGCAGTGGCGGGGTCCAGAGGCTCCCTGGCAAACTTCAGTCTCAGGCCTGGACTAGGTATCATCAGTGGAGTTATTTAAGACAGACTTTAGGAACACGGTTGAGGGTTTCATAATGGCCAGGTGAGAGGACCAAGAAAGAGCTCATGGAGCCTCCTGTGCTGGAACAGCTAGGCCATTTGTGCACATGGCTCACCGAGCCACCACTGGAGAAGGGTTTGGGTCCTGGGGTATGTCCTGAGTAGGAGAGGGGCCAGCTTGGCCAGGCCGCAGTGCTCTGGGAAGACAGTGACTGATGAAGAAGTTCTGCAGGAAGCGGCGCCGCAGGCCCTCTGGCAGGTAGTAGTGAATGAAATACATGAGCCCCAGGCCACGGCCCGGGTAATAGCGACGGCGTGGTCGAGCTGCCAGCAGCGCATCAATGATTGCATCTACAACTGGGCTGAGGTCAGGGAGCGCCATTCTAAGAGAATGCAGGAACTGCCCATGCAAATGCTCGATGTAGTCTTCACCATAGGCCTGCAGCAGCTCTCTAGGCAGATTGGCCAGCAGCAACTGCTTGCGCTTCTCCCAGTGCTTCACATTTGTCACTGACTCTAAGGAAGGGGTAGCAAGGTTAGAATGCAGCAGCCAGGGGAGCTAAAGGCCACTAATCCATTTAATTTGAGCTATACCTATAGCCAAAGTCACCAGCTCCTCAGACCAGCCCCCATGCGTGTCCCATCCTAAACCTGAACCCTCACCTGTTTTGAAGCAGCCAGGCTGGATGATGCTGACCTTGATCCCCCAGGGAAGCAGTTCACAACTGAATGTGTCCATAAGCAGTGCTATGGCTGCTTTGGAAGTTCCATAAGCTGCCAAGCACGGATATGGCATGTCTCCTAGGGATACAATGGGGATGAGGCTGCTCAGCCTTGGCTAGGGACTCCCCGGACTCCCCAAATTTTCCCTTGCCCTGTAGCAGCTCCTTTACTGCTGCACTTCAGAGTAGAAGGACACTTACCTGCTGGGCTACCCACAGTCACAATGCGTCCCCTTGAGTGACGCAGGAGTGGCAGGAGGCCCTTGGTCAGCTCAAGTACACCAAAGAAGTTCACCTCCATGCAGTTACGGAAAGTTGCCACTGGAGACAGCTCCACATCTGCCACTACATCGTTGAGACCAGCATTGTTAACCAGGCCCCACAGGCCTGAAGGCACAGAGACAGGTAGAAAGTCTCAGGTCAGTCTAGCTGCAAACATAGTCTCTGCCCCATTCACACCCAGCCATGCCCACCCTTAGTGGAGCCATCTCTGCTGACCAGTGCTGGTGGTGTGTGCTTTGGTGAACTCCAGCACTCGGCTGATGTCCTCTGGCTTGGTCAGGTCCATCTGCAGCAGCTTCAGGCGAGGTGAACAGCAGGCATGTAGCTCCTGGGCACCAGGGCTAGTCAACTCCAACACAGTGGCCAACACTGTGAAGCCCATGGCATCTAGTTTCTTGGCTGTCTCCTTGCCAAAACCAGTGTCACAACCTAGCCAGGGTAGGATAGCTAGTGAACTCCCACAGTGGCCCAGATTAGCTTTAGACAAAAACCCAAGGATCACTAGGGTCTGGGTAGGATCCAGGCTCCTAGACATTCAACCCAGTAGCAGTCAACAGCCCTCCCTCTTTCCTTACACACATTTCTGGTAAGCTCTGCCCTTTGGCTGAGCCCTGTGCATCAACTCTGTGACATCTGTCATCTCCATGATTACCCATAGTTAACCCATTGAATATGGCTGGATGAACCTTTATTTATTTCGGTCTTTTTTTTTTTTTTTTTGAGACAGGGTCTCCCTGTAGGCCCAGCTGTCCTGGAACTCATTATGTAGACCAGGCCGGCCTTGAACTCACAAAGATCCACCTGCCTCTGCCTCCTGAGTGCTGGGATTAAAGGTGTAGGCCACCACGTCCAGCTAAACCTTACTTTATAAAACAGACCTAGTCCTATCCCATCTTGCCTCCTGAAGCAACCAGAGGGATCATTTTAAAAATGACAGTACTGGGGCTGGAGAAATGGCTCAGCGGTTAAGAGCACTGACTGCTCTTGCAGAGGACCTGGGTTCGATTCCCAGCACCCCACATGGTGGCTATGAACCATCCTTAACTCCAGTTCCAGGGGAATCCGATGCCCTCTTCTGACCTCTGTGCTTGTGAGCGCACGAGACAGGTGCGCTCACATACATGTAGGCAGTACACTCGTACACATTTAAGAAAAAAAAAAAAAGTACCACTCAGTGCTGGAAATTTCCCAGAGGCATCCTGCTCTCCTTAGGATCCTGTGGTCCTCAGTATGAAGCCCAAGCTCTCTGGTCCATCATCCTGGCCTTGTCCATCCTAAGCACCGCTCGCTCGTCTCAGTCTCAATACCCTCTACAATTATTCTAGGCTCTTGGCAAGCTGGAAGCCCATTCCCACCTCCCCCTTTGATCCCTGCCTTTGAAATTCCAGTCAGTGACAAGGAGTATATTTTCTGAGACCCAGACCACATTTCCCTCCCAGGACAGATATGATGGTGAGTGAGGAAAACAGACCTACATTTGAATCCCTCCCCACACCACCAGATGTGACCTGAGGTCAGCTACCACTCTTGGAGGCCTAGTTTTCTTGTCCTTGGTATGCAGTCATAAGAGCCACCAGGCAAAGCCAATGTGAGGGTTCCTGGTACTGATAAGCCCCTGCTTCCTTGATGGTTTCCATTCTGATTCTGGCTCTGTGGGTGGCCAGTGAGGGGAGGAGGAGGGCCAGTGTGGGAGGAGGCCCAGGGCAGCCGGACAGCCCTGGGGTCCTGCTGAGCAGAAAAGCTGCAAAGCAGCTCTGCTTCCTTGCTCCTGGGCAATCAGTACCCCTCCCCAGCTCAGCCCCGCCCCCTCTGCTGAGAGGAGAACAAAGCTGGGCAGGGGGCTGCAAAGTAGGCTTTGTGTGTGTGGTGTCTGGGGCCTGCCAGCCCATGTTGAGGGGGTCCTTCTCTGGGAGAGTCTGGTTGGGGGAGGGGAGTATATGTGAATGCACACACCACTTGCCTCTGCTCCCTCCTAGAACAGACAACCCTCTATAGGGAAACTTAAAGCCTCCCAGAGTCTCAGCTCTCAGGTCCCAACAGTCATCCACATCTTACCCTCTTGGCCACCAGCAAACACTCAGATATTTATACATACCTCTAACCTGCCTGGATGTTCACACATGCAGGACCCTGTCCCCATCAGCACACAGATGACATATGCACGCACACAAGGCACTCAGCCACACAGCCCAAACCTGAGTCCATGGCTGAGTAGGTTTGGCAAGCAGTTCTTGGGCATTCTTGGGGAGGGGTGAGTGGCAGCTCCGCAGGCACAATGCACAGTGCTCTTGGCAGGTGGGGCAGGACTTGGTCTCTTAAGTGCCTTGCAGCCTGGTGGTGATTGGGGGAAACCCCAGAACTTGCAGGCATTGGGAAGCTAGGAGCCCACTGCTGATGAGCTTACACAGGAGTAGGCTAGGCAATCCTCTTCACATCTCCAAACACATCTCAAATTCAGAGATGGAGGGAGCCCAGGTCACAGAAAGCATCCCCTTTCTCACCTCTTGCTCAGGCTAGACATAACCACAGTAGCCAAGACCTGAGGTGAGATTTTAGAAAAGACAACCGAAGAGGGCCAGTAAAACCTGAAATGGCCTGGGTCCTGTTGAAGTAGCTTACAAATTAGAATAAAGGAAGGGATCTGTTCTGTCTTTGGGGGAAGAGCCATCACCTAGTCCCTGCTTCATGCCAAGAAGGCTTGATAGCTTTTCTTCCTCAATTCCCTGAAACTGGGGTCTCTGAGGTCTCTGAGGTTTTATACTCTCACTGGCGATCTCTTCCATCCAGCCTGAAGTCCTGCTCAATTTCCACCCTCTGCCAAAGCCCTAAGCCTTTGTGCTACCCTCCCCCACCTTTAGTACAATCTGATTTCTTACCTGACATTCAAGTTTCCTCCCAAGGAAACCTTACATCCCACAACACCCCCAACAGCTGGACTGGTTATTGACTACCCCCTTCCCAAGTCATATACTTATTGCTGTCTTAAGCCTTTGTCCCACACCCTTTCTGAGTCCAAGACACCTCTCATATTCTACCTGTCACCACCTGACCTCCTCCAAGGCCCAGGTCAAGGATTTCCTGAGTTCTCCCAGTCTCATCTGATCATGCATTATGGACCAAGGTCCCTGAGAAGTTATGGTGGGAGAGAAACAAGGCTGCCCCTCCTCCCATGCAGTGGATCAGTGCCCCCTGGCCTTTCTCCCCCTCCCCATTTCCTGCTGGGTCTTCAGCACCCCCTTCCCCTCCTCTGGCTCTGATGACAGATTTATTCCCTGCTCCAGACAAAGGGAGCTCAGCCAGGCATCAGAGGCACCTGAGTCCAGCTCTCCAAGATCTCTTTCCTGGGCACCCAGGAATAGACAGGATGAAGTGTTAGGTGCAGACTGCTGCCTCTGCAATTTGGCGATGGGTGGCTGGACCCAGCTTCTGCCCAGCTGCTGTGACCTAAAGCGTTTCTGAACTCCAAGGATCCTGGCCAATGGGGGGAGGTAGGGTTGGACAGAACTGCCATTAAGCTCCTTCCTCTGTTCCCAGTGAATAGCGGTTGGGGTGTTCCATGTGACCTGGGAATGTCACGCAGAGTTCAAGGGAAGACACCCTCCCGTCTCAGGTCTTTTGAAGTCCTTTGGAGTACTGTCCTCTGCTCCACGCCTCATCTCTTGGGATGGAGCCGACCGCACAGACTCCAGGAGGCTTTCCTTTTCTCAGCCACTAATTTCCTTTGAGCATCTGCCCACACTCTACCTCACTTTCCCTCCAACACTCCCCGCAGCGGCAGGTAGTTAACCCGGACTTGGTGAGGCGCCCGGAGCTTCCAACTTGGCTCACTCTTTAGCACCTAGGGGAGGAGGACTCTCACTTTTGAGCCCGGGAGCCAGCCTTGATTGAGCTCAAGGGGAACCCTCTAGGTGTGAGGTCCCGCCCCCGAGCCTGGAGTCCCCGTGCTCTGCGCACTCACCGGTGATGAGCACCGCGCGAGTGGCTACCGGCAGGCGAGGAGGGCGCGCCAGGCGGGACAAGGCGATCCAACCGGCAGCAGCCAGCACCACGAGTGCGGCCGGCGGGGGCAGCAGGCGTTGGCACAGCCAGTCCAGCCCTGCCAGCAGCGCCAGCGCGGCCAGTAGCGGGCGACCCAGACGCAGGTCTGCGCGCAGCAGCTGCAGCAGCGCGCGGGCGGCCACCAGCAGCCATGCGCCGCCCGACGGCCAAGGCCAGCGCTCCATGGCGGCGGGGCCGGGCTGGGCTGGGGCGGGGCGGGGGCTTGGTTGGGGAGCGAGGAGAGGAACTCAGGGCCGGGACGCAGGGAGTAGAGAATGA